CAGAATAAGGCACGCAACATATTTCATAGTATTTAAGCAGTGATAAAGCCATTGCATTATAAATATACTTTATTTTAATGAAAATGATAATAATAAGAACTCAGATAAACCGTATATTGCCGTAGTCGTGTGTTTATTAGTCACGCTGAATCAACGAAAGCTGTTGAATCTTCTGTTTATTCAGCTGCAGCGATTTTCTGAGTTTCTTCTGCGAGGCGTATCTGGAGTTTCAGCGCGAGAGCGCCCTCTGGCCTTCGGATGGAGATTTACTGCTGATCACAGAACCGTGCTTCACTGAAAGATACGCATGACAATCAGCAGCTTCTGTCGAATCGCAATCTCGATTCCATTTCGATTTATCGTGCAGCCCTATCGTTGATACATTTTTTAGCTATATCGCCCAGCCCTATGATGAGCATTGCTGTTTGTTTTGCTGCTTGGTCAGTGCTCTCATTCTGCTCACTGATGCACTGGTGTCATCTTGTTCTTCTCTCTAGGGTAACAGTGTTCTCGCAAGACGGGCGACATCAGGTGAGTTGTGAGATAGCTGAGGATATTTCCTCTGAGTTGCATGACATAGAAGGTGTTTTCTGTAAAAGTACAAGTGTAACAGTCTCGTATCTTTCTCTGACAGTGGAAACAAACCTGATTAGATGTTCCTGTGTCTCGTTTTTCCTCCAGGTATAACAGCGAGTCAGTGTGTCACCGTCAAGAACAGCCCGTAAGTATCTCTGAAGTCTCCCGGAGGATTCCTCGCTCCTGGTGTTCCCAGCAGATACAGAGTCCAGGATCTGACTGGATTGTGTTGTGCTGTTGATTTTCAGGAGCTGTGAGACCCGGTCAAGCGTCTATCAGATCAGATACTTCAACACCACGACCGCTCACAGTACGTATCAGCCCTAAAACAAGGTCTCAGCAGCATCATCATCATCAGTTTGCCTTGCTTTTTAGTCACGATTAGACTGTGTACCATTCCCTTCACAGTTTGGTGTTTGTATCGTACAGTCAACACAATTCTTTCACTTATTTAAGGTCACTTTTCTTCTGAAGGTCAGGGTCAGCCGTCACTGATACACACAAGTCTTGATTTTAAGGTCCTCTGCTTTATTTATTATTTCGTTATAAGTTAATTTCATAGGAATCTGCTGGTTATTATTTCATGTTCAGCTCAGATAAAAAAAAAAAATACATATAATTAGGGTTGGGTATCGTTTGGGTTTTTTTCTATACCGGTGCCAAATCGATACTTTTAAAACGGTTCCGGTGCCGTTTATGGATTGGCCATTAGAACAGAAATAGAATAGAGAGTGCAAATGTTAGAGGGTCAAGTTTTTTAATTAAAAAAAACAAGCAGATAAAATTAGAAGTAGCATTAGAATTAGGGATGCACCGATACCGATACTGGTATCGGTATCGGGCCCGATACTGGCCTCCTGAGTTTTATCATAGGTAGAATGCAAAATGTTTCAATACAAGCATTTCAGTCAAATGTAATTTATGCAATATTTCAAACCTTTAACCCACTTGGGAAAATCAACCTATGGCAACAGTTTAAAAGTAGCCCAATTCTGTGAAAAGAATGCGGACTTGGCAACCCTGCATCCAACAAGAGCTACCGGAGTCAGCTTTGACTGATCACAGGTCGAGAATAAGGAGAGATGACTGACAAGACCATGCTGGAGTATTTGCTGCTCAACAGATCCTGAGCTCATTGACAAATATCTGATCTTGTAAGATGTGCTCCCTTTACACAGAGTGCGTGTGATTGCGAAATCGAAAGTGTAAGTAAACAGCGCAAACGCTCATTCAAAAATATTTAAATGCACCGCACACTGAGATGCCTCCCTGATGCGCCAAAATGATATGCAATATTAGAATGTTTAAAGGAGTGGACACAAAAATCGCGGGAGCGAAACACATGTTGCGGGAGCAGGCGGCAATGGTCAGAGATTCAGCGGGAGCGGGATTAAGAAAACAGCCGAATCCCGGACATTTTGGGCTATTAAGAAATCCCGACCGGATGCATTTTTGTAGGTCCAAAAAGTCCGGGGAAAAGAGGACGTATGGTCACCCTAATTTATTGAATGTGAAAACAACATCTCATTACTACAAAGATGTGTTGGATTTGTATTATTAGAGCTTTCCGACTTGAGTTCACGTGCATTTTTCTCATTCGGGAAATTATTTTTCACGTGCGGTGCCGCGATGATGTTTCTTACGTCCATTTCGGAGAACCAGAGGACAAATATTTCAATCAATCGCTCGGGCATGGCACCGAAATGAGGCACCGAAATCTGCGTTCGGATTCGGTTCTAGTACATACCGGTTACATAGGTACCGGTGCCATATTGGTACCTGGTTTCGGTACCCAACCCTACATATAATAAAATATGTATAGTATTTCAACAAATTGAAAATACTTGGACAGACATCGGAAAATGCAACTGTGTTCAACATTGATAATAATCAGAAATGTTTCTCGAGCAGCAAATCAGTATATTAGAATGATTTCTGAAGATCATGTGACACTGAAGACTGGAGGAATGATGCTGAAAATACAGCTGCGCATCACAGAAATACATTACAGTTTAACAGATATTCACATAGAAAACAGCTGTTTTAAACTCTAATAATAGGCTTATTTCAGAATATTACTGTTTTTACTGTATTTTTGATCAAAGCCTTGGTGAGCAGAAGACACTTCTTTGAAAAACATTTAAAAAGACTTATTTATTCCATATGTTTGACTGCCAGTGTATATAAGTGAAGCCAATATTTTGTGTAAAGTTATCCGTGTAATAAGCCGGATAATATGTAGGCAGCTATCACAAAATAGGGTGATACGAGAATCTGCTGCTTAGCATTGAGGTATATTTTGCAGTAACAACCCTCTGCCTGCTTATTATCACTTACTTACATGCTCATGTTGTTGTGTTGCTGTTGGGCTGTTATATATATTTTTTTTTTACTCAAATTTTACTGTCCAGTAATTTACTTGTGTGGCAAGTTGCCATTTATTAAGCATATAGCCAGTCGAATAAAATTGTATCTGTATGTTATCTTTAGTATCTTAAATAACAAAAAATAATCCATTACAATGTACAAAACAGTTGGCCTGGCAGCAACACACTATAACAGTAATATAAATACCGAAGTTGTCTAATTTCATTTTCATTCAATAATTGAGACGCAACATCTAGACGATGGTGAATATTAAGATGTGATGAATCATACAAAACACAAGACCTGGCAAAACTCGAAATGCTTTAATTACTTTAAGTGATTGTGACATGAATCACAGCTCTATTATTCATTACCTGTAATATAATCTGCTCAATGAAGGCTACTGCAGATGTGCTCATTCTTGGAGCAGAAAATCTTTATATAGTCATGGCATTAAATGCTGCATTCGCTGCAAAAACATTATTATCATCCTCTGTCTTGTTTTCCAGTACAAATATCTAAACATACTTAAATCAAGATGCATTTACTTGAGATGCAAAATGAAGATATAAAGTCTGGTTGAGTTTCTCAGAAAACAATTTATGATTAAATTGAATGAGTTTGATTATAATAAGAACATATATCTGCCAATGGGGTATGAAAACTTTTTCCCATTTAAATTCAGTTGAGCCCATTGTCAGATATTTGTTCTTGATTTAATCAAATTCACTTCATCTTGATCAGTTTCTCAGAAAACAAGATGACTTGTATCATTTTGCTTCTCCAGTAAATGCATCTTGATTCTTTAGACACTTGTACTGGAAAACAAGACAGAAATACTGAGGAAGAACATTCACTTTTTTGCAGTAATCAAAGATGTTTTGTTAAATTAATTAAAAAGTCATGGCGATCTGTTGGAAGTTTTGGGTTTTTACAAAATGTGAAGTGTTGCCATAAATCATTTTCTCATTTTTTTGTGTTCCCTTCCATTTGGTCCTTAAATGTAAAAAATAAATAAAAACGTTTTACGTTTACCTTCCTGAAACCTGCAGAAACCCTATTCAGTGGTGTAAACACTCTAGAGAGCTCTCTGTTGGTTAACACCTTTCTACAGTTGCACAGCACACAACTTACACATCAACTGTCTTCTGTAATTGCAGGGAATGAACTTATTACAGTGAAAACACCAGCGTTTGCGGAGTCTGTCACGGAGGGAGACGTCAGGTGGGAGAAAGGTAAGATGAGTTCAGCAGGTGTGCAGGACAGACGTCCCGCCCCATTGGACCCCATTCACTCTGTTCTGTGTGTCTTTAGCTGTTGGAGACACAGTCTCTGAAGATGAGGTCGTCTGTGAAATTGAGACCGATAAGGTAAGAAGCACATTCTGTTAAACGTTTTGAATGTTCACAATTACGGTTTAATCGTTGGTGTGTGTACACATTTGTCAGACGTGCATCTTTGGCTGTTGTGTAGCGTCTCACTGTTAGTGCAGTGTTGAGCATTGCATTTATTTAAGAAAATGTGTCAAGTTAAAAATAGTTCAACCTTTGCTACCGTGCCTCTGGACACCTGCCTTCTGTTCCAGGCTGTTTTTGGTAGCAAGAGTGTGTCCTATTTCAGCAACCGTTAAGAAACCCGTCAGATGAACATGACTCTACATCTGTCTAACATTACAGGGCTTCCTTAAGAGCATCCCGACCGCTGGAGTGGAGTTGTTGTTGAACCTCAAGGAGATAAGACCTTGAGTTTAGTTTGAGGAACAAAACTCGATTTTGAAAGTGTATGCAGTTTAATCTGACAAGTAGTTAGCTAAACAGGGCTGCGAGTAATAATTATTCTCTAAATGCATTCATCACATTTTCATTTCCAGTGTCCTCAAAATAACAATGTGCACAATTTAAGTCTATATATTCTATCCTAAGCATTTTGTATAAAATATACAAAAATCAAAAAATGCACCTAAAAACATTCAGTTTGACTACAGCAGAAAGGCTGCAAACCATAAACTGCAGGAACACTCGTTGCATCTGACATTGAATACTTCCATACTATGGAGTATGCGAAAAACGGTAAACAAAAAGAGTAGAATGTCTGAATTCATAGTATTCGTAAAACACCATATGAACGGTCTCGAAGCAAGTCAAGCTTCAAAAATACTGTAGTACGCACTCAGACAACGTGTGATTTCAGACGCACAGATTCACTCCTCTGAACACGGTGCACAGGACAACTCTTTATCTTTCAGTTAAAGTTCATATACAAACCTAGCACCATATATAAACCTAACCCTTAAACCTATAGGTGCAAACTTCACAGAAATCTCTGCCGCGTTTGTTTGGCGTTATGTATCTGTAGTCTGTGACTCTGTGTGTGTGTGTAGTGTTGAGTTAAGGTGAGTTGTGACTGTCCTTAACACTTGCTTCTCTAATCTTTTTGTATTCTATCTATTTGTTTTCTTTTTATTTATTATATGATTTTTTTTAAAAACCTTGCTACGTGTACTGCATTAAGCTAACTGAGACTTGTTATAGCACTTGCGTATCATTGCTCTTTTGTTGATTTTGATTGCTTCCATTGTCCTCATTTGAAAGTCACTTTGGGTAAAAGCGTCTGCTAAATGTGTAAATGTAAATGTCCTGCAGACGTCGGTGCAGGTTCCCTCTCCAGCTGCAGGAGTCATCGAGGAGCTGCTGGTTCCTGACGGAGGCAAAGTGGAAGGAGGAACTCCTCTGTTCAAACTCAAGAAAGGAGGTCAGCCGTGTTTATTTTTGCTAAATATATATTAAAGGGCACTAATTATGCAAAACCCACTTTTACATGGTGTTTGTTCATAAATGTGTGTTGGCAGTGTGTGAACACAACCACCCTACAATGATGAAAATCCACTAACTACTCATTTTTTAATCCCCATTAAACCAAACCAGTCTCATTAGACCTGCCGTTTTGATGTCACATTGTTTAGGCCCCGCCCACGGCCGCTGATTGACAGGCCTGCGTTACTGTAGTTTCCGCCCTCAGCGAGTTGGATTTGGTTGTTCGTGCTTGAGAAGCTGTAACATCAGCAATGTCTTGTAAGCAATGCAATGCAATTTTCTCTCAACATCTGAGCCACTGAGGACGCAGTGGATTACTTTTATTTTTGAAGGTAATGTGCCTCAAAATCATGCCGTTGTAGTGCTTCGCTAACGTTTGAACCGTATTTTATTTCTCCTTCATCTGTGTGACTCTGGTTCAAACATGTACGGCCGAACACCGGTTCCCTCGTTCTCAGTCATGCTGCTTCTACTGTTTATTGCTGTAGGTATGCAAAGCAGAGATGTACACGCCACGCCCTCTTCTGGAGACGGGGCGGGAATATGCAGCTCATTTGCATTTAAAGTGATGCGCACCAAAACAGCACTTTTTTAGACACGCCCCAAAAATGACATTTTCAGCATGTTATAATAAATGATCTGTGGGGTATTTTGAGCTGACGCTTCACAGACACATTCTGGGGACACCCAACACCAATATTACATCTTATAAAAAGGGGCATAATGTCCTGGACTATATTGTAATCATTACAATCATAAGCTGAAGTCACTTCCTAACATGTTCAGTGTGTGTTTAACTGATTACATGATGTTTACTAACCAGATAACATTTGCTCTATATTACCGCCATATGGATGATGCTTTAACTCTGACCAATAACAGAATACTTCCTGTTTGTAACACTGAAACATTGATTTTATGTGAAGCTGCTTTGAAATGTGACAAGCACTATGTGAATAAACTTATTAAAGCCAAGGAAACCTTACTTGAGAGAGCTTGGGATTTAAAAAAAAAAAATTATGATGATGGACTAAGATCACATATTAAGATATAAGAAGTATGGGAGTATTACAACAATTAAATGTACAAGTTTTAATAAAGCTATTAGCTGAAGAAAACCCCCTATTTAAAAAGTCCATCTTCATCTTAACCATAACCAGAAATAAAGCGTCTGGACTTTCCGTGCTAGGAAGTGATTATTATTATAAATGAGTGCTGCTTTGCTGCAGTGGTTTCAGCTCTGACTGTGTTTCAGCTGGAGCTGCTAAGACGGCAGCAGCACCTCCTCCTGCAGCAGAGACTGTGCCTCCTCCTGCTGCTCCTCCTCCTCCTGCTGCTCCTGCTGCTGCTGCTGGAGGGCCCATCCCCACCAGCATGCCCCCTGTACCCCCTGTGCCGGCCCAGCCCATCCAGTCCAAACCAGGTCAGGAGTTTCCCCCGTTTACATGGTGAAATCTCATCATAGGTGCATCATAGATGGTGCTGTTCAGTAGAGCTTGAGATTGGTGTATTGTGATATTAACTTCGACTAAACGTTTGACATGAAACGCTCTTGCCTTGTGTCTGTGTTGTAGTTTCAGCCATCAAACCCACTGCAGCTCCTGCTGCTGCTGCTGACACTGACGCCGGAGCCAAAGCCGCCCGATCAGAGCACAGGGTAAGACTCCTCACACCTGCTGTCTGCATCGACACACTGTGCAGGTTACACGCTGATGAACGTTTGTGAAGATGTGCATACTACTATACAACATATATCGCATACCCCAGTTTGTAAACACTTGCTGTGCTGGACTCGAGTGCACCATTCAGGTCCACTTTTGACTTTAAAGCAAGCATTGATGTTATTTTTTTAGTTTCATATTGATCTGTTTGTCACTTAAACGTTAGTTTAATTGCAGGACAATCAGATTAGTTAAAATTAATTTAGGAAACATATTCTTTTGGACTGTCCCGGTTTTAATGCAAATTGAAAGCTCTTTTATAAAGTTAGTTCACTTAAGGACCTATTTAGTAAGATTTTGCCTGAAAAGGTTTTAGAATTTTTATTGTATGTTAATTTAAAAAATCTTATATAATATTACTTGCTGTGTTTGTTTGTTTGCTTGGTTTTTATTGTATTGATGTGATATTTGTATTTTTGTAATTGAGTTTTTGCCATTAAAATAGCCTAAGATGCTGATATGGCATTACATAAAATTATACTACACTACTAAAATTAATTTAGGAGGCCTTAATGCAGGCATTCACTACTAGTGACCAAACAAGATGACAAATACAAACACTGGTCTATGGGAGACCTCCAAAATAATGCCTTTTTCAGTCATTTATTTGGATAATAATCAAACATATATCATATATATATATATATATATATATAAACATATTAATGTGTTTAGTAGAGCCTATTGCATTGTCGCCATTTGATTCAAAATGTTTAATGCAAGAACTAAAACAGTATAAATGTGAAAAATAATCAAGGCGTCGTTTACCAAATGAAATGCAATGTATGTATTTCAATGTCTCTGTATATGTGTAACAGTGTTAAATGCCATTTGGAGATTTTCATGAACATTTTGAGTGATGCCTAATTATTGAATCAGTGACCCCAATCACTCTATCTGTGCTCTTTAAGAAACTCAATGGCCAAATATAAAAAAGTGCATTGAAATGGTCTCTATATTAACAGTGCTTTTTGCATGAAATTATATTAAAAGTAGCACAAATTCTGCTGAGGCCCAGCGTTCCCTTGCTCAGCCCACTTGTGGTTTTGTTGCAGGTGAAGATGAACCGCATGAGACAGCGAATCGCTCAGCGGCTGAAGGAAGCGCAGAACACCTGTGCCATGCTGACAACCTTCAATGAAGTCGATATGAGGTCTGTAACAGCAAACCAGCAAGATTATACAGTCATTGGTTCTTTGAAATGTGTTTTTAATACCCTGCCAGTCAAAGGTTGGTGCTCACCTACTCAGTTTTGTTAATAGGATTTTCTGCATTTCAGGAAAAAAAGTGATTAACTTTGAAATAACACAAATGGAAGTCTGGGGATAATGTGGAGATGAAAACATGACACTAGGGCTCTGTATTGAGACAAATTTCACCATTTGATTTCCATTCACTAGCCTGCAGTTCGATTCGATTTTGATCTCACTTCGATTCGATATCTATATATATCTATCTATTTATTGGATATCAAACTTAAAGCTGTAAACTATAAAATAAGCCCTATCTGTTAGTACATTACTATGTTAAATTGATTTGTTAACAAACATTTAAATTGCACTTATGGCAGTTTTTATAATAAAAATCTATTATATAATAAAAATGTATTAATTTATATTTAATGATATAATTGTCTACTCCAGGTTGTTGTCGAAATATGAACATTTAAACAGTGGATATCATAATGGATTTATGTAAACATACATTAAATATTCAGTAAAAAATAATAAAATTTAAAAAATAGTAAAAAATATATGTAATATAGTGCATATATTTATCAAAATGCTCTTCTTTAGAGTTATTTTTTTTATCTGACTAACGAGTTTATGGACATTGAATGTCTTTCCTGAGATAAAGTGTGATGTTGTGTAACATTGTTGATCACAAGTTGTTTAATTGACGTCTTTCGGCGGTTGAATCACTGATTACATGAGACATGATTCATTTCAGTAAGTTATTGTGTTGCTTTCAACCCCAACCCTTGATGTTCATTCATGTTTATTTGGTGCTGTAAGTAGTAGTAAAGAGGAAGAGGTGATCGGTTCACACGAGGCTGCACAAAGCTTATTGCATTTATTGGATGGCTGGCGTGCTACAAATAATGTTTAGTGACGTTTTGTTGACGCATCAACTGAAAACATCGAACATATTGTTTCATTAAAATGAGAATCGATTAAAATCGAGGAATCGATGTTTTCAACCCAGCCCTACGTGACACAAATTATATATTTGAGCTTCTTCTTTGTCTAGATATCTGCTCCAACTCAATGAATTAAAAAAAGAGTAATAATAAAAGATAGTTACAGTTACATATGCATACTTTATATTTGTGCACAAACAGACTTGTAAGCCTGAACAACACTAAATCAGATAAACGTGTCTAAACTTCTGCCTGCTAGTGTGCAGTATCGTGCACTGACACATAGGAAGGTCTGTCGACGGCCCTGTGAAAATTTTGCTTATTGGCCAAACCTGATTAGAAGCTCCGCAATGCCCATCCAAATGGTTATAGATTGGAATCTGGTCTACAGGAAGAGATTTCTGCAACGCGATCCCCACTTAAAGCGCCGAATGTAAATATTTGGTCCTAATGTTGGTCAAAACAAAGATAAGAAGGGCAAAATGGGCTTTATTAATTTACAAGGAAACGTTAATGTCCACAACCTCCCTCGCTAACCCCTGAAGAGGACACTTTGAGGATTTCTCCCCAGCGCAAATGGCCGTATTGGCTTTCAGCCGTTCTGCCGCTAATCTGGTTGGCATTGATGGGTTGGAGGAAGACTCTGCCGGTCTGGAGTCGAAGGAGCGCGCTCGTCTGCGGCCCGCGAGCATCTGCCTCGGTGTCCCCCGAGACGCGCCTGCGGAGGGAGCGTGCGAGACGCCCGGAACGTTATGGGCTATTATGACAGGCCAATAAGATTTGAAGGCTCTGGAAAGTGAAGATTTTTATCACGTCTTCTCTCCTTTCTCTGAGAGCGCGTGTCTTGGGACGGTCCTAATTCCGTTAGCGGAGAAACCGGAGAGGCTAAACGGTGTTAGAGACAGGAAAATAAAGAATTACAGTCTCGGCCCTTTTCACTCAAAACCTGGCCAGACTGTTGTCCACAACATCCTCCATCAGTGCTTCAGTAAGGAGACGCACCTTAAATGCTCAAACCGAGGAGTTTGCTTGATGCAGATCATTGCTGAAGAGTTTTTCCTGGGATTACTAAAATTAAATAAAATAGAAATTAGGAATGGGCATTTTTGTGGGTGTGCGTGTCATGGCGATTAAATGGTTTTAATACAAATGTGCTGGTGATGAGAAAAATAACACTTGGATTATTAAACATATCACTGTTTTGAAAAAGAAACATGTAAAAGCAATATGAATATGATTTGAATATGCTTTGCCATTTGAGCTGTTGACAAATATATGATGAGAAAAATAAAAATAAATCCTTAAAAATACAATTATTTTATCAATGTTTTGAAAAGGAAACATCTAAAAGGATAACGAAGGGCTTTGACGTTGACAAAAAAAGAGAAAAATAACTTTTACATTGATGCATTTTTAATAATATAAACTAATTGTTATTTTTCTCATCAATTTTGTCAATATTTGAAACAATCATATTACCTTTAGATGTTTCTTTCAAAACCATTGATAGATTAATAATAATCTAATGTGTTTGAAAAGGTAACAGTTAAAACCAATATGATTGTTTCAGATATTCCAATCATATTCAGTAATGTCCGGCTAAAGGGAATATGATTGTTTCAAATAATCCAAGTATAGTCAGTAATGCTGGCTGTTGCTGAAGACTGGATGAACATCTGTAAACTGAAGCGCTTCACTAAAACTCAACCAAACACACATTTTCCTCATTTTAATTATCAGGCTGATTGCAGGCGTCGCTGCACACTTTCGAAGCCGTAGTTCAGTGCAGTGCACTTCAATAGATCAGGGCTTTTAATCCATCAGATCACTGAATATTAATTGTATTTTAAGCAGTTCTCCCAAAAGGAACGTAAAATATCTCAACCATTATAAATGCGCTGTAATCCAAGTCTTTTGAAGTCATCTGATGACTTGATGTTTTGTTCTGTTTCTTGAGTAGATAACTTCAATTTCAGTCTGTTTCTCACACAAAAACATCATATGATTTCAGAGGACCTGGAAAACAGTGCAGCAGTCACATGTGCTGCTGTTATAACGCTTAAAGGTCGACTGTAAATTGGCATATGCTCCCATTGAATGGTAAAGAGCAGCGTGAACATTCTGCTAAACATCTGCTTTTGAATAGAGTGGGGAAACTATGACGTCACTTTGTAGGCGGCTCGGCTGTTAGCATCGCTCTGGTTCCCTCGACAAAAAGCCAATAGGATTTTTCCATAGGCTTTTGGATTATCGCAAAAAATAAGCTCTGTGTTCAATCATAGTTCATGAAATTTACACTTACTTGTTTTGTCCATCAAGATAATCTTCACAAAATAATATAACTTTCATGAATTTTAAATAAAAGCACCAGAACTTAAAGGTGGGGTAAGCGATTTTTCAAAAACGCTTTAGAAAACTGATTCGGGCCGAATAGCAAAACAAACTTGTAGCCAATCAGCAGTAAGGGGCGTGTCTACTCATGATGTGGAGGAGAGAGAGTTCAGTGCACGGGACGGACTTTAGCTGAGCCGAGCGACAGAAAAATAGAGATGGTGGATAAAAAAAAAAGAGGAAAACGTCTGCGGGAAAAAACGAAGGCTTAAGGCAAGAAGTAGGACCCATGTAAATATCGGATCAGCTTTCCAGCGCTGGAGAGAACTCAAGGAGCGGAAGGCCTGCGATCGGACGCCGAGGTTGCTTTGTTTCTTCTCGATAGGTGAGTAACACCGTGTCTGCGCCGCAACAGCTAAAGTCTGTCTAGTACACTGGACGCGACAAAGCGACAGTTGAAAATAATTTGAAGTTTGTGTCAATACGTCATAAATAGAACGCAGCAGCAGTTTTCTGTCGGGGATTTGTTGCACCGCGCCGCTCACGTCCGTAGACACGGTGTAACATTGGTTTTGCTTTGTTTCACAGAACTAATCGTTGCCTGG